CTCTCTCTTCCTGTCTGTACTGAAATTCCAAAATGCTTTGTTTCTTTTTCCACAAGAGATCCCCACAGCAGAATATCATGGAGCACTGCTTATCTCAAATGGGGCTCACACCTTTAAGCAGCTGGTGGATCCAAGATTTCAGGTGAGGTGGCAACATAAGCCAGACACCAGGTCCCTCGAGATTATTCCCAGGACAGGCCCCATGTTCAGCCACATCCTCTTCCCAGGCCACGCCCTCCAGCCCTGCTTCGCACCTGGTTCTTTTGCCCGGCTGAGATACATCCTCCGATAACGACTCTTACTTTGCTTGGGGAATGGAAAAGTGTGTGTGTAAAGTAGCCTACCTGCACAGAAGCAAGTGTTACATATATTGCTCCACCCACTTAATGCTCTGGCCTCACCCACCCTTGGCATGTGGCCCCCGACAGGGAATGTGCCCCTCGAGTTGAATCAGGTTCTGCACCCCTGAATTATGGATAAACATGGGCCTGCAGAGGTGTAGCCCCATGAATTGTTTGGAGTCTTCTACAGGCTGTGCCTCTTTGCCGTTGACTTGAACTCCAGTAGGTTTCTGAGAGGGTTAAAGGGTGCCTGTCCCAATCCTGTCCTTCTGTATGAAAACTGCCAGTTACTCGAACTCTCTGCTTCCTTCACTTTAACCATCCAGGAGCCTCAAGGGAACCGTGTTCTCCAAATGCTAATGTGCTACATTTAGAGCAGGCTCAGCTGTGGAGCAAGGTCTCCTCTGTGGTGGCCTCCAGGTGGAACTGTTAAATCAAGCAAAAGTTCCACAGTCCTAAGTTGAGACCCTTCAGAAAGGAGTATGTGACCAGGGCCACCCCAAAACACTTTGCTGCATGATAAGGACAAGATGGTGTCCTAACCCTATGCCCATTCCACCCGTAGATGCCAACTGGGCTGCAGCTGAATGTTAGTTCAACACCAGCAATGGTGTTGGCTTAGGGGCCACAGGGCAGGCTGTGTGCAGCACACTCCCTCTTAACACTTTGGTGCTGCTCCCCAGCATTGGCTGCCTGAGGCAACCACCTCATTCTGCCCAATGGCAGGGCCAGCTTTCTGTACGTTCCTTTTAAATTAAACTCTGGTATAAAGGTGATAAATTTCTGGTTTTGTCTTCTACCTATTCTATATTCTTCCCCGAATATTTGGAACCTAAAGAAAAGTTACTCAATTTATTCACCATTATTGTGTTGCAGTTTTGTGTTGTTCATTTCCTTAGTTTTATTCAGAGAAAGGTGGGAATCAATTACAGTGGTACCTCGGGTTAAGAACTTAATTTGTTCTGGAGGTCTGTTCTTAACCTGAAACTGTTCTTAACCTGAAGCACCACTTTAGCTAATGGGGCCTCCTGCTGCCACCGCGCTGCCGGAGCACGATTTCTGTTCTCATCCTGAAGCAAAGTTCTTAACCCGAGGTACTATTTCTGGGTTAGCAGAGTCTGTAACCTGAAGCGTCTGTAACCTGAAGTACCACTGTACTGAAACAGGTTTTCAAAAGAGCCCCTTCTTCTTGGTTGTAGGTATGTGTGTGTGTTATTTTTTTTTTAATTTGCTGCCTGGTTATGAAGAAGCCAGTGCTAGAAAGCTTTGGGAAAAGTGGGTTGAAGCAACAGGTCAGTCAATTAACCTGATTTGAAGAGTCGGTTCAAAATAGTCTTCAGCAAACGAGAAACAGAACATCCCAGCGGTTTAATGGAGCCCCCCCCTTGACTTGATCTCATCTAATTTTTATACTTAAGGACAAAGTAGGACAGTTTCCCCTTTGGCAGGGACACAATTAAGTGCATAGCTAGAAACATAAACTAAAAATTCCCTAATCTCAATATCACCTAAGTCCCAACACACTCATTACTTCCAGATCTGCAAGTTGGGGATGTTGCCTTTAAAAAAGAAAAAAAAGTTTAAGTGGCACAGGGAAACCTGAGAAGCAAATCAACTGCCCTGCATGAGTATGAAGAGCCTGGTGGGTCAGGCCATTGGCCCTCCTAGTCCAGCATCCTTTTCTCACAATGGACAACCAGATGCCCATGGTGGGAAAGCTGTAAACAGGATCTGCACACAAAAGCCCCCCCCCCCCCGTGGTTCTAGCCATAGTGTGTGGTCCATGGATTGGTGGGAGTAGCCTAGTCACCTTCATGTTCCCAGCAATACCTTTCTGGGTACCTAGAATCATAGAGTTGGAATAGACCACAAGGGCCATCGAGTCCAACCCCCTGCCAAGCAGGAAACACCATCAGAGCACTCCTGACATATGGTTGTCAAGCCTCTGCTTAAAGACCTCCAAAGAAGGAGACTCCACCACACTCCTTGGCAGCAAATTCCACTGTCAAACAGCTCTTACTGTCAGGAAGTTTTTCCTAATGTTTAGGTGGAATCTTCTTTCTTGTAGTTTGGATCCATTGCTCCGTGTCCGCTTCTCTGGAGCAGCAGAAAACAACCTTTCTCCCTCCTCTATATGACATCCTTTTATATATTTGAACATGGCTAGCATATCACCCCTTAACCTCCTCTTCTCCAGGCTAAACATGCCCAGCTCCCTTAGCTGTTCCTCATAAGGCATCGTTTCCAGGCCTTTGACCATTTTGGTTGCCCTCCTCTGGACACATTCCAGTTTGTCAGTGTCCTTCTTGAGCTGTGGTGCCCAGAACTGGACACAGTACTCCAGGTGAGGTCTGACCAGAGCAGAATACAGTGCTTAGCCAGTGTCTCCAGGCTCCATGTATGTGTATGCATGCCTCTCTCTCTCTCTCTCTCTCTCTCTCTCTCTCTCTCTCTCTCTCTCTCTCAGGGTTGCAGAACAATACACACACTTGAGAAGGAAGCGGCCGCTTGAAACAGAACTACAGCCCTTTCTCCTTCATTTTTTAAGGAAGAGCAGTTGGAAAGCCTGAAGTGCCCATGGGGTCGGAAGACAAGATCCCTGCAACCTTCATATCTCACTTCCTCCCTCCTCTCCTTCAGCCACTGTGTGTGTGCACACGCATGCAAATGTGTTTGAAAGCGTGGTGTTTTAATAAAATACCCCCCTCCCAGCCCCAATCTGCAAGAACCTGAAGGATCAGCAGCAACATGCAACAACCAACAACAACACAATCATAGAAAGGGAGATGATGAAGAAATGGTGTGTGTGTTAAAAATGGTGGTTTTTTTGGTGGTGGGGGGTAAATCCACCCTTTTGCCTGGGGGATTTTTTTTTTAAAAAGAACAGAGCCAAACTTTGCAAGCTGCTAGGAACTGGCAAATTGACTGGCCGGGGAATGGACTTCCTTGAGAGGTTTTTTAGGCATTTGTCAGGGAAGCTTGACTGGAGATTCCTGCCTTGCAGGCAGTTAAACTAGATGGCTCTAACTGTTCCCCTATGAAAAAATTCACCGCACGCCACTGGGTTCTAGCAACTGGTATTCAGAAGCACTGCTGCCTTGGCAGCAGAGCAAAGCCATCATGGCTAATGGACAGTGATAACCTTATCTTAAATGCTGAAAGACCAGGAGATGAAAGCGACATAAGCTCCCTTGGACCTATTCTTAAATGGAATGGACTGAGGCCTGGCTAACACTGGTGTGTCAAGGAAACCAGAGAGATGGCTCATATAATAGCACAAGGGTGGTCAACACGGTCTCTCCAGCTGTGGTTGGACTACAACCCCCACCATACCTGGCCATTGGTCATGTTGGCTGGGGCTGATGGGAGCTGGAGCCTAACAACTAGAGGGCTACCCCTGTAAGCGTGCACCCCCCCAGCAAGCTTCTGCCTGACCAGCTCCTCTTACTCTTCTGTTTACATGACTGACAGAGACCGACTTCAGGGGAAATGTGTTTTCCAGTTTATAAGCAGCTGCGTGCAGCACTGATTGGCTGGCCTTCTGTCAATCACAAATTTTGTGATTTTTCATGTATACCTATTTAGATTACCAAATAGGCAGCGGAAGCACCAGTTTATGGGCCCCACACCTTTTAGGGGCACCACCACAACAGATCAAAATAATATTGATCCTCAAAGATCAAATAAAAAATATATTAGGAGATAATCTGTGAGAGTCCCCCTGAGATTTCAACTGCCTAGGGGCCTCTACAGGGTTTAATCTGGCACTAAGGGAAGTGGGTGGCGCTGTGGTCTAAACCACTGAGCCTCCTGTGCCTGCCGATCAGATGTTCAGTAGTTCGAATCCATGCAACAGGGTGAGCTTCCATTGCTCTGTCCCAGCTCCTGCCAACCTAGCAGTTCGAAAGCACGTCAGTGCAAGTAGATAAATAGGTACTGCTGCAGCGGAAAGGTAAATGGCATTTCTTTGGACTCTGATTTCCGTCACGGTGTTCCATCGCACCAGAAACGGTTTAGTCATGCTGGCCACATGACCTGGAAAGCTGTCTGTGGACAAATGCTGGCTCCCTTGGACTGAAACCAGAGATGAGTGTCACACCCCAGAGTCAAATTCAACTGGACTTAACTGTCTGGGGGTCCTACACCTTTACCTTATCCGGCACTGGAACTGAATACATGTCTTTACATCTATGGAGCACTCAAAATGCATTTGGCTAAATGCAAAAATCAGCAATTGGATAGCCATTTACCAGTTGCTCCTAAGAATGGGGGAGTGACTATATTTAGCTTCCCAAAATTCAGTGCATAATAGAAGCCACTTACACAAGTGTCCTGGAAAGTTGTGGCGTTCTTTTTTGAAAAAATAATAATTCTGAAATATAAATGCCTTGCATGTGTTAGTAATTCCTGTACAACAAGCCTCAAGGGGTGTACCAGCTGAAGGTTCCAAAATATTGAAGGCATTACACCCCCCCCATATAATAAATGTATACCATCATATGCATCATGGATTTAGAACACCAATTTGAGTTCTTGTTTGAACACAATTTCTCCACATCATAGAACTTTTCTGAGGTTGCAACTAATCAACCAGAGACTTAAAAAGTAAACTCCTCTATTTATTAAATGTGTTGATATGGGTTCATAAAAAAACATAAAGAGAGTTTTATACACTTTATTAAAAGATCCAAAAAATAAAATAAAATAAACAATAACAATATAGAAGTAACATAGTAAAATGAGTTGCATTATGCACATCTCTAGAAAGCACAAACAAGCACTACAGCAATATAACTGTGGCAAAAAAGGAAAAGATATTCAAAGCGTACACCCTGTTGATAGCAGCTGAAGGGGTGACTTTTTGCCAGCTTGCTACGGATAGATCAGAACAATCTGAATCCGCATCACAGAGGAACCAGGAACCTAAATGCTTTGGCTGGCAGCCAGTTCTATGGGTTTCCATAAAGCTCGCTTCCATTTAAGTGTATGCAAGGCTGTTGCCAGGCATTCAAGCCAGCACCTGCTAGTTTGAATAGTGGCTATGCCTTCCCACAGAAAGCTATGGGAAGGAAAATCTAGACATGCACATACCTCAAGAGTGCCGGCAGCATGTCATTTTTAAACCTCATTATACTCTGACTACATTTCCTCCCTAAAAAAAAATCAAACCCACTTCTTTGAATATATTCCTTGCAGTATAATTTTAAAATGTCTGAATAGCTTACTTTACATAACATCCAATAGTATAAAAACAAAAAATAGGTACATGCTCTTCTGGATGTTACTTTTTCATTATCTGGAGTTTTGGGATCAGAACCTCACCTCACATTTCCCTTGTGTGGAAGTTTAAATCGAACTAAAATCAGGCGAAAGTCTCTGGGGTTTCCTCCTTCACAGATTTCTGCTGCTGCCAAAGGGCTGTTTTGTGTCAGAATTCAAATTTCAGTCTGAAAAATCAGGGGTTTTGTTTCTGAAAACCTGATTTGGAACACAAGAAAGCAACTCTTGAAATTTTAACTTTCTAAAAAACAGCAACAAGGCCTCAATATTTCAATCTTCTCCTTCTGAGTTTTGGGATTTTAATTCTGAATTTTGGTAGAATTTTATTTCTCTGGGTGAACAATTTTATGGCTGCAAACTTGGCACCTCTTGAGGTTTGTGAATTTAAAGGTGGTGGTGAACCCCCCACCCCTGTCATCATTTGATGAATGGCGATGTCATCCCCTCAGCTGCTAGGATACTAGAGCCATGGCAACAAAAATCGTTTGGCTTCCACCACTATCAAATAGCATCTGTGTACAGTAATAAAGATCTGGAACCTTGAAATTCTGTGTCAGGTAATTTCCCTCTGTTGTGTGTTTGGAAAAAGACCACTTGGTTGTCATTGTTTCAGTTGTTGTGTTGTTGGCTGGCTGTTTGGTTTTGGGGAGGCATGTGCCTTTCTGAATGTGAAGGTCACTAGCAAAAGGTTTTGTTTGGGGTGCCTGCCATGACACCCCTGGGCTGTTCTGCCATTCCCATCCTGAAGCAGTTCAATTTTAAAAGATCCCTCCCCCCCCTCAATGCAACAAATAGAGACTTTCTAAGGCTGCCCCACATTAGCTCTTTATCAATATGCTTCTTAAGGCCTTTGCATAGGGGTAGCTTTGCCTGGGACGTGTGTGAACACAGGACAATTCTTCTCCCCATGCTCCCTGAATCTTATGTAAGAGGGGAAATCAAGCTGCCCCCCCCCACAGTAGGATGTCACTTCCTTGATACTGGAATTTATCAAAGATAAATGCCTCCTTTCTTATAAGACCTTGCTGAGATGCATGTTCTCTTTCCATGCATCTACGTCATGTGCAAAGCTGCCCTTAGTGCTTTGGGCCATGGGGTGCACAGTTCGACACTGTGAGCCTCTCCTCCAGCATGGGTGTTTTAATCCATACTCAATGCCTTGTGGGGCATCTTTAGGAGAAGAGAAGACTAAGGAGTGAACCCTACACAGATCCAGAGTGGTGTCCCTAAGATGGTTGGGTGGTGCTTGGTACGCCTCCTTCTGGCAACTCCTGCAGCCAAGCAGATGCCAAATGTATTGCTCTGCTTTCCTTTGGACCATATCAGTGAGGTCAAGAGGGAGGGGTCTTGCTGTCTGGGCAGACGACAACCTTCATATACCTTGCCCAGATTTGCGCCCCGAGGTGGTCACTTAGGTGCTGCTAATACAGCAACCAACCTCCCTCCCCGAAGGGGCACTCTTCCATTGTCTCTCAAGACAGATGAGGGTCAACTAACCAACCAGGCTGCTGGGGCATGTGTATCCTGAAGTGGGGCCCTAGCAGTGAAGACGTGGCCCTAATGCCTATAGCGCTGGGTCTCAGTTTCCACTGCGAGTCTGGCCGATGAAGCTGTGCTTCAAGGGCACCACCTGCTCTGCAGTACCAGCCTGCCTGAGCATTCTGTCTGTTGATCCATAAGCGCCAATCCCTGTCCACCAGGACCTATAAAATCTTTGCCTTGAGCTTGTTCCCCTCCTGAACAACTGCCTGCACCTTATGCTTCCATAGTGGGAAGACAGGCCCACCTCTTACATGGCAGAAACAAAGGCCTTGTTCACATGCCACCCTTTTAAGACGTGGCTTTGTGAACAGCATTACCCAAATTACAGGCATTTCACTCTCTTAACTAGCGCTGGGACAACTTTACCTACTTGACTCTATACGCTGCCAGCCTGACACTCACTTGGGGTTAAGAGGGTATGCAGAAAGCCAATTGCCAATGCAGCCCGAGTGAAGACGTGGCTGTCTCTAGTACACTACCCACTTACGCAAGAGAGAATAATTTATACCACAGAACCACCACTCGGAAATCCAGGGGTACAAGGGAGAGGTGGAATACTCCTCACTGTGGATGCTACATCTATCAAGTTCTTCATGTGGTTGGGCATGAGCCTCAGCAAGGCAGCCCTTGGAAAAGTCACTGTGAAATCTACACTATCCAAGATTCCTAATGTAGCTTCCCCTATCAAAATCTCCCCGCTGCCAGTGGGACGATAGAAAATTAGGATTCAAATTTTTGGTAGTACAAGCAAAGCTCTCTGAGGAAGGGATGAAGGGTTTGGGCCTCAAGATAGTTGGATGAATATCATGAGGATTGCCCAGTTATTTGCCTGAACATACTGGGTTGTAACCATTGTTCGTTCTCGTCCAAGTAGGTCCACCAATTTCAGTGGGTCAACTCAGAGTAGAACACTGTTGAAGACAATCTTTTATCTGTAGGCAGCCCCACCTCCCATAATGTTGCATCGTCAGTCTCCAACTTTCCTTGCAAATGCCTGAGCATGCCTGAATCCACAAAGATCCTCCAAGGAAAACTGCCGGTATCTTTAATACATGCCAAAATTCTAATATAATCCATAAACAGACACCTGTGTTGCAATATAGACAAGCTGAACAAAATAGCACAACACGATGGCCAATAACAATGGCACTAAACACTTTATAAACTAATACAAATGATCAGAAACTGCAACTATAGTCTCTAAATCTTCACCAGTCACGGTAGAATAATTCAAAAGTTTGATATATACATAATCTGTCACCAAATATCGCCAGAACAGAGTTTCCGGATAACCAATCTGTTCCTTCCAATGCTTCATCAACCAATCTGGATCAATTCTTCATCAGACAGACTTGTAAGAATTAATGTGAGAAGGATGCAGTTCAATTCAGCTGGTTAAGAAATTGAACGAAACAGATTGGTTTAGAGACTTTGGTTGCAATTTCTGATCATTTGTATTAGTCTATAAAGTGTTTAGTGCCATTGTTATTGGCCATCGTGTTGTGCTATTTTGTTAAGTTCTAATATAGCCAGGTGGGTGAGGAGATATAATTACTTTTTTAAATATCTGGAGAGTCAGAGTGTGGAGGAGACAACAGGTCAACCTATGGCTACAGGCCATGGTGGCTACATGGCATCTCTCTTTAGAGTCTGTGTACAGCTGTAGACAATGGGCGAAGGGGGCTGTTCAACTTCTGCCCTTCTGGTGGGGAGGCTGTGTAGGCTAACTCGCCCTTTGGTCTGATTTAGCTCTTCTCATACCCAGTTTGTGCGGGTGACAAACTACTTAAAAACCTTTGCTGGTGACCTTTACTTTTAGATTAAGTGTTGTTTCCTATTGTGTGTGTGTTTTTCTTATTTTCTTTCAGAGCTGCAGGTTGGAAATGAGCCGGTCTCAGTCTGCTGTATTTTAAGCTATATGGCAAACTACGAAGCTTGTACAATAGCAAAGCAACAGCACGCGTTCAGATAAGTTTTATAGCAAAAAATCTCTTCCTTTTCAAAGCCTTAGTAATCTCTTTTACAAACTTCTCCTTGTATTATTACAGACTTTTTTTTAAATATATTCAAAATAAGTTCCAAGGATTTCTTTCGTGGACTATGTACATAAGTGCAAAAAAGATGTGTCTTACACATTCGTACACCAACTGAATCAGTTTAACTGCAGCATATTGGTTTCTTCAACACTGTTATAGGGTCATTCCACAATATTTTTGTCTCCTTTTTATGTACAGGTTGTTTCTTCCCATATTGTCCCAGTCATGATTTTGATGTAAAAGGCTTTTAACGATATAGCTATGATGTTTGATTTTTGCAGTATTTTTTTTATTAATAAAAAAGCTTGTTTAATTATGAATTCACTAGTGTTGAAACAAACAGCAGCACCAAAAAAGGTTATACCATCAGAATCTGATCAATTTCTTGCATTCAAAAAAATGCTGCCGAATGGCTGTGTAACCCCATTGGTTGCACAACTCTGAATCTGGGAATTTAATCTGGTGTTGTTGTTTTACAGAAGAATAAAAATCTTAGGGCCGGTGCAAAAACCTACGGACCTTAGCCACAGCTCAAGTCCCACTGAAAGCAACACCCTGGGGAATTTGTTGTGGCTGAAATGTAGCTCTACATACAAATTTCCTTTTGATTTTTGTGAAACAACACTATACCAATTCCTGATCAAATTCTGACTTGCATTTTCCTACATTTGTTTCAGCTCTAGAGTATGTGGAAATAGAATAAAACCCCAGGAGTTCTATGATAAGTCTTTGTATCATCCAGGAGAAAAATACTGTGGAATAACCCGAACTCACACAACAATTTCTACAAGCTATAAAACCTGACTCTAAATCCATGTGTTGTAAACTTTTTGACTGAAAAAGTGACATAAAAGACACAAATCCAGCGTTCACATGGGACTTTGGGATTTTAAAAATATTCAGTCATATCTTTCTCCGACAGTATCGAACTGTACCTTAAACGAACCCATACTGTTACACATTACTTTTTTTTAAAATTTACATGTGAAAATTTCACAAATAATGTATACAAAGGTAGCCATGTTGTAGTTTTGTTGCCATAGCAACAACAACTTAATATAATTAGTTAACAATGAATCTATCATTGTAGGAGTTACATACAAAGTTACTCTTTTTGTCTGTTTGTTCTTAAACTGTAAACTATACAAACTAGTTATGGACTGTATTTATTTCTCTATATTTTGACATGCGGTTCAGTGTTGTTTTTAGAAGATAACAATGAGTTGAATACATGATTTTAAAATCTTAAACATTCTCAAACTCTCCTTCAAAAATCAAATTCATTAGTTACTAAAGATATATAAAGACACACACACACACACACACACACAAACAAACACACACAGTGTGTGTGTGTGTGTGTGTGTGTGTGTGTGTGTATGTATACATATATGTGATAATGAAAACAAAATCCTTAAAAACTAACAATAAAAGTAATGGAAAATAATGCAACATGAATAACCTGTTGTAACCTAGTAACAATGTTTTCTTAAAACTCTATTTACAATTATTTCAAGCTAACAACTAATAAGTTTTTTTCTTTAAAAAAGTTATTACAGTCTTTAACATACAATATATTCTAAGGCCTTAATCAGGCACATGGTAAGAATCAGATCATTAGCATCATACATCCTTTCGGGAGGAACAGGAAATTAGATTTTCCTCATAAAGTTGCACTCCCCCCCCCTTTTTATGGATGTGAAATGTATTAGGGATTTAAAAAAGAAAAGGATAGCTCCAATTTTTAAAACCGTTCTGGGTACTAAAGTGTCCTAGAGATAACTGCTGTATTAAGTAATAGGCAAAGTTGAGAATGAAATAGGAGGAGGTCAGCATAATCTCCTTTCCAGATCTGATGGACCTACAACATTCAATATTTGCCGTTTGGTTTTTGTAGCTGGCTAGCTGGGCCATGCTAGAACAGAAAGGCTGCCATCCCGAACTCGCTCACAGTGGTGGCTAAACTGCACTCAAGCAGTGACCCCTCTGAGGCCTGATTCTCACTTAGGGTTTCTTTTTGCCAGGCACACACTGGCTCCCACACCTTTCCCCTCCTGTGCTCAACAATATATTCACAGATATAATGGCCTGAGGCTGCAATCCTAGGCACGCTTTCCTCAGGACATTCCCTGCTGAACAAAAAGGGGACTGACTTTCCCAGCAAATGTGCACAGGATTGAGCCAAGCACCAGGTGGTCTGGGTAGTTGGCTTCCTGATGGATCTGTAAGCTGCCTAGATAAAAAAACAACAACCCCAACATCAGCCTTGCAGCTTGCAGATCTGTTGTTGAGCAAGCTGAAAGATGGGCAGTAGGCTAGTTGCACGTGGCCAACAGCCCCCCTGCCCCCCCACTGGTTTCAAAACTGAGTTTCAAAATATTTGGTGACATGGCACAAGGAAAAAGGAAGAGAATAAAACTAACCCCACAGTATGCGTTCAAACTAGCCCTTCATATCCGGCCTGTGCGCTTGCACTTTCTCAGACAAGATGCCTTGTGCAAGGACACATGTGTGGAAGTGACTGGGAGATCTGATAATGAGGCAAGAGGAGTCCACATTGGCAAGCATGAGATTCTGTGGCTTTGCAAGGGGTGGAGCAGGTCAGCCAGTCACAGCAGTCCACAAATGAACTCTCAAAGTGCAACACGCAGTACATGGCAGATTAAAGAATATTTGGGAGTGTTCAGAAGTGGAGGATGTGGGCTGGTTGAGGGAAAGGTGGGCAGGGAGGGGGGAATATATGTAGATACAAAAAATGACACCATTAAAAATGAAAAACCCAAACCCCTAACAAGTTCATATTAAAAATGAATTAAAATATGATTATGAAAAACCATGTTCCAATCCTCAAGAACACTGTACTTAAGAAACAAAATAAATGGAAATCATTTCAAGAATCCCATTGTACTTTAAATCCCTCTTTCATTGTTTTTGTGGATGTATCTAGTAAGTTTTAAGCTTTTCTTTAAAAACGCCTTTTCATGAAACAACTAACTCCCCCCCCCTCAAAAATGATCTATCAGCTTTTTCATTTTTCCTCTGCAATGACCCGTTTTACTCAAGTTTCAGCATTTCTTGCATATTGTTTGCATAAGGCTGAGAGGAAATGGGCACATAGACACTGAAAGTAAGAGAGAGAGTTTGCACGCAGGCGTGCGAGATGAACTTGGGATAAATTTAAAAAAGAACATATAGGTTTGTCGAACATGGGAAGCTTAGAGAAAGTTGCTGAAATTATACTGATTCAAACATTACACACATCTCTGTACTCAAATAAAAGATGAGATTTCTTGTGTTTGTTATTTCACTTAGAGTCACCAAGTAGTTCAGTGACTATAGTATAAAGAATGCACCTATCTAGGATTTTATAGTCTGTCGACTGTGTTTTCTTTCTTTCTTGAATAAAAAAGTCATTGCACAACAAGCCTTAAATAGTGCTACCCTTGCAATGGCATTTTTTAATTAAAAAACCCCTCCCAACCTCCCTGTTAAATTTGGTGACATTCCCAGTGCTTTAAAAGCCGTGCTTGTCTTCCCTCACTCCACAAAGTTTTTCTCTTACAACAAACACTAACTCTATTTTTGTAAAAAATATATATAAAAAATAAAATAAAATAAATGTTGTGGCACCTAAAATAAAACAGTCTACCCTGAAGACGTATCACTGCACCTCTGTATTAGAAAGAGTGCCTGCGTGTCCATGTGTGCAGGTGTTAAGTTTATCTCTGGTGTGTTCAGGGGTGCAAGGATTGAAGTGTTGGAGTGTGGTTCTGGTGCTTTGTGCCTGGGGAGTGATGCCTGGTTTGCTGTGGTAGCCAGCAGGGAGGCTTCTCCTCCTCTCCTCTGGCTCCCAAGTTTTGCAAAAAATACAAGCAAGGTGTTGTGCCCCTTGTGTGTTAGCTTTTCAGTGCTTTAAAACTGTGTGACATGAATGCTGTAGAAACTTTTTAGGCTTACATTCTGTGCACATCTATGCAAGATGCTTTTAAAAAATATATCATTCAAAGAAAGCAGGAGTGGGTAACATCAAAGGGGCAAGTTTACATAAAAATCCATTTAGAGCACTGAAAACAAACACTGAACATCCTTCCAAATTCTAACGCTAACACAATCATATATATATCTATAGAAGTGTGTTTATACATAGGTGTCCTTTCTGACTAGAAGAGATCAGGTATGTTCTCTGTTGAGGCACTGCCACAGGTTGTGCAAAACCCATCATTATTTTTTTAAAATATACAAATATTTTCATATCCAGGAAGTACTCAAATCCACTTTTTTCTACTATGTTACAGAGCTGGGAAGCAATGAACAACAGGTTGGCCAGTTATATGGTTATGTATGGCTCTCTCTCTCTCTTTTTTAGGCAACTCTGGACTAAAATTTTCCAGGAATATGCAAAAGAATTTTGTACGAGATAAATGTGTACAGTCATTTTTTTCACCTCCCCCTGATAGGGCCTAGACCTTTTAAGACCATGGAAAGTAGCACCAAAATGACCCTTTGCATTTGTTTGCAATTGTTCACAACACAATTGTTCACAACACAACACATTTTTTTGCAGGTATCAGATTTCATGGGATTTAAACTTTGATGAGGAAGCTCAGTTCATGGATGGCAATGCAACAAACCAGGCATTTAATTCTTCTTTAGTTTTTGCCACTAGGGCCAAATTTGAACACATAAGATAATACATTGGCTTCCTGAACATCTACTGTCTCCTTCTAAACACTGTATTCACAGTCAGTATCACACAGATTAGAATCTGAACTCAGTTCCTTAACCGGCATTGCAGGGATGTCAAAACATGGTTCCAAGCACACACCCAAAACAGTGACGTCTTTGGAAGAAACATCTGGATGAATTTAAACCAAACTATTTGGTCTGTCTCCTACTTTAGTCTCTTTCCAGAAATCACTATAAGGCTGCTCCCTCAAGAGCAATCCCTGCTCCCATCTGCACAAAGATACAACCTAATGGAGGAGTGAGGCTGCAGTTTGGTACTACTTTCCTGGGCTAAGCATGGGATGTGGAGATGGGCTGCTTACATTTGAATGGAAAATTTATGTGTGTGTTTTTCTGTTCTATATCACAATGGGGTCTGCATATTAGCAGAATACTTTCATCTCAATGGCAAGAAAACCTCATTTTCCATAAACTGGTCATACTTCTTGATGTCACTTAAAAAAACCCCGTGTTGGTAAACTTTCAAGATATGTTGTGCACCAATTGGAGCTTAAAGTGGCACTTAAAGGCAGAAATCTCTTTTGCCAGGTGCTTTTCTGCCATCTTGGCCTTGCGGGCTTGACCCTGTTTTGATCCATTTCACTTTACATTCCCCCTTCCTGAACTGACAGCAAATCCCTTCACAACTTTTGCAAGTATTGTTTATTTTTATTAATTTATTAGAGACTCCATTTTGGAGGGAGAGTCTATTTTTCAGATGGAGGTTTCTAAATAACTAGCCCGATACGAATCTATATCTGAACATTCTTGTCTCTTGCTTTTTTAAAAGCACACCATTCCTGTTTCCCAGTATAACATTCTTAGCTTGTCATTCTTTTTTTTTTAAAAAAAAGGAAAGAAAAAAGAGGAGAAACCCATAACGACCACAGTATATGAAAATGTAAGACATTATGATAATGAAAACCCCCGGTGTTGAGTATACTTGATAATGATGTACATCTTTTCTTCTTTTGTCTCTCCAAACAAATCAATAATAGACTAGGATGTAAACAAAACAGTAAGATAACACTTTGAAAACAGACAAACATTTATCCATCGAAAATAGAATAATAAACCAGTAAGTCCACTGTGCAGGAGGACACTTTCTCTTGATGGTAGTCAGGAAAAAAATATTCTTTTTTAAAAGTGTGTTAAAGTAAGATGTTATAAAAGTCTATTGTTATAGTTCTCTACTTACTTCTATGCCTTGTATAACAGAGTGCTGTTTTGTTAATTGTTTCTCTATAGTGCTTAAAAAAAAGTTTGACATTCCCATGGACCAGTTTTTGGTTAACATGTAGGCTGCAGTAGGCTTACTGTAGATGCTGTAGAGGAGGAAAGGATGGGCATATATACACAGAGAGCCCAGAGGCAGCTTCCCACCAAAGACAGGAAAGTCCAGTAACTCCATGATTTCAGGTTCATGATTCTGACATAGTTTGCTGGAATGAGAGAAAGCAAACAAGTGATAAAAGAGAGACTCGAAAAGAACACAAGAGCCCTGCTGGATCAGACCAAGAGGAAGGGCCACAGCTCAGTGGCAGAACATCTATTTTGCATCTAGAAGGTGCCCTGCTCAATCCCTGGTATCTCCAGGTAGGATTAGGGTTGTCCTTCGTGAGAACTGCCAGTCAGTGTAAACAGTACTGAGCTAGATGGACCATTGGTGTGATTTAATGTTTGATGCTTAAATGTGTTTTTATATCTGTTGCAAGCCACCCAGTGTCTGGGGCAACCCAGTCACATGGGTGGCATAGAAATAAAAATTAAAGGAATAAAACTGAAATGGGTCTCAGTCCAAGGAAGGCTGAGCCATGGGGTTCTTCCGAATGTGCAGATCTGGTTCTCAGTCTGCAGGAATGACTCTGGTGTGAGATCCCAGTGTGCCATGGCTGAAGGGAGAAGTTCAGATGAACTTACTTTTCCGTTGTTTGCTTCTACATTTGTGACACAAACATGCTGCTGTTTAGTTCATCTACTGATAACTGGGATATCTGCAAGGAAAAATGGAAAAGAAGATTTCCTGTTAAAATATTTCCTTGATACTCACCCTGTCTGTTCACTACTCAGTCATTTTAAAGGAAAAAGTACAATTGGTTTGGAGAGTTGATAAACACGACCCCTAATCCCTGATAATGTCTAGGGTGACTCAGTGGATAAAATGATGGATAAATCATTTTCTTCTCTGGCAGGTATAAAAAAGGTGCCAATGTCTATATATCCACTCAATCGCTTAATTTTGAGAGGCCATGGCCGTGGACTTGCTGAATATTGCTTTTATGACATGGGTATATGTCTGCAGTTAGAGAGTTGAACAACCCACACTATTGGGTTCGAAACCGAAAAGGTTGCTTGTTTTTTTTAATGTTGCATATCCATAGGAATGCTCTCCATATACCAGAATAAGAAAAGAGTAAAATAACATCTTTTAAGCATTAGTATGCTTAAAATTGTCCCTCCACTACTGTAAGATGGGTGCTTGTGTCAATTTGTGGCTAGATGCTCAGTATGGTTATTGGCGCTCCATAAAAAGGGGGCGAAGAGGGAACTTGCTACAGCAAATCCGAAATGTGACATTTGCAGTGCATTGAGTATACAACCAGTGTTTTTATTGTCATGCATACAAGGACTGCATCTGCACTAAACCTTTCCCTAGCTCTTTTTTAAAAAATGAATTTATGCAAAGCATTCTGGATTTCTGAAGCAGCATCTGGAACGTTTATGGTTTTGAGAGCAATTCTTTCTCCATTTCCTTATACGGCAAAAAGATGGCTGTACCTAAATGCCCCAAAGTTATATCAGATTATATATATTAGAAGAAGAAAGATGGAACTTCCTGCTGACCCAATATATATTAATGGTTGGGATGGGTGAGTGGAAGAAGCGACCATCTTTTCCCATTCAAAACCATTATTTATTATTATTTTTAAAAACTAATAGTTCTTTTTTATTTCTGCTTTCTATCTGGGCAGAAACACTTCAAAGAAGAGAACCTTGATGTGATGCTTCTGTTTCAGAACACAAAGCAGAAGAGACATGAATGAATCTATCAAAGATTAAAAATAAACAAACCCCACATTGTAGCTCAATGCAATTTCCCAGCACAGCTCAGATGATCAAGCAGGGAATGCTTCTGTTCTTCAAGTGCTTCTCCCTGTCAGACTTGACCTTTCATGTGACAGGGTCCTCCTCACCCACTCCACCAATCTCCTACTTCTAGAACCACACCTACATCACCCATTCACCCAAGAACTTCATATTCCATGGGATGGTGACCCCTTACCCACAACTGAAGAGGACAGAAGGGGGAGGGGAATGTAAATACTTCTAATGGCATGTCTGCTACAGAGGTGCCACTCACAACACTCCTCACAAGATGAATGCTCTATGTGGGCATTTTTGTAGAACTGCTTGTTTAATTCCATTCATTTAGCAAGAATTATATACTGCTTAATAAAATAATAATATCTCTAAGCGGTTTACCTAAAATGGTAAAAAAAAATATGTATTTTAAATTTTTAAAAAATGAAACCAGACTTTAAAAACAGTTGGCATCTCTCTGTGTTGGGAGACAATGGAGGAGTGCATCTTTGGGGGTGAGGTCAAGCTATTGGGACGGTTGCATAAAATTATCAAAATATAGACACAACCATCAGATTTAAAAAGAAACAACTTTGCATAATAAAATGCCTGAGCAACCAAAAAAAAACCCACCTTATCATGGGGGTGCTACTCATGTTAAAAGTCTCTACATTTGCACCTGTGGTCATGTGAAAAAGGTCACCCCACCCCTCACAAACACCTCCCCCCAGAGACCTTTAAAGAGACAGCTGTTAACTGTTGTGACTCCACATGAATGGCCTCGGCAGGGTGGGTGCTGGGCAAACAGTTAACAAGGATGATGATGCCAAGCCCCACTCCTAACCCCCTTAACTGCGAAAAAGGCACTCTGCCCCATGTGAGTGTGGCTCCTGCACAATATCTGAACATTGCAAAACAAAGCTATTTGAAAGGGCCAAACCTGATTGGCTGTAGCAGTTGCAGCGAAAGGAACGCTGGTGGCAGGTGATGTTGCTGCAGAAACAGTGGTGGGCGTAGCACCGTGCATCATGGGAACTTTTTTCAGTAGGAAGCCATGGAAGCGACATAACAGGAGGGCGGAGCATTTTGTGTAACCACGGTGACGTGTGGCAGGGCGGGGAGGATGCGTGCCGGGGGTCACAGTGACAAGCCATGGTGACGTCATGGGAGGAGACATCAGGGGAGGGCGGGACCCAGCATGCAACCACAGTGCAAAGCAAATATGGCAACAGGGAAAAGGGGGGGGGAGGTTGAAAAATAAAAACAAAAAAGAGAAAAAAAGAGGGAGGGGAAAAGCCAATTACAATTGTAATTAAGGAAAAAACCAAAATATTCTCAACACTTAGTAAACATTTATAAGCAGAACAATGATGTATAAGACTCTGGGTGGGGGTGGCAAGTTTCCAAAGATGGGTGGAAGGAGAGCAGACTGCCAAACAGGAAACCCCCCCCCCGATATTGGAGGCTGTGGCTGGTGAAGGGGCACCCGAAATGAGCCACACCAGGCTGCTCTTGTGGGTGCCATGATAGCCCTCCCCTGCTTTGAAAGGTTGCTGTCCCCCACCCCCATTTTTGTGAATCTGAAAAGTTACAAAGCTCGCTTCTGAGCAAGTGCTTGTAGAAGATGCTACCACTCAGGCACATGTTGTAGTCGCCATCCCTCTGCATGTCATGGCTGCCAGGTGCAATAATCATCCTCCCCTTTCCTTTGATGCCAACTGGGCAGAGCTGCTAGTTCTGTGACAAGGATCTCATGGGTGCTATTTCACCCCGTTTTGCCTGCCTGAGTCCTTCAAAAGGAGTGGAGGAAGGGTGAAGGGAGAACTGTTTCTGCGACATTATTAACACCTCCAGAAAAGCAGAAATAACATGGGAGCTAGAAAGAAGCAACACTGGGGGGTGGGGCTGTGACCCACTTTAAGGACCTTAAATAGACCACAGGGCTCTGGGATTTTGGAGAATGTGGACTTTGGAAAAGGAGTACGATTAGTCAACTGGTGAGGAGTTTGTTCTGGGCTGTGGACACAACACATACGTAAAGCACCTTTGAAACACATTCTCTGCTCCCTCCCAGGAAGAATCCTGGAAACTGTAGTTTACCCTTTAACAAACTACAACCCCCAGGACTTTCGGAGGACTGAGAATGTGCTTTAAATGTATGGTGGGTACACAGCTTCAGTCAGACACAGGAAAAGAAGCATCCTGATAAAATCCCCTGCAGGGTTTATAAGCTTGAAATTGCAAGGATAAGGCCCTCAGATCTGGTCTCTCTTGCAGTCATGTTTGCTTTTTTGCAGGTGGTGAGCCTGGGGAGAACACAGCATGCTTGGGCTGGCTTTCAAATAAAGAGGGTTCAGTGTAGGCATTATTATTTTTTAACCTGCCCTGCCCTGAGGACATAGGGCAGGTACTTCAAATTTAAAGCAAGTTGTGTGTAGGATAAAATAGGACCTTGCTGACCTAAAACATTGCAAGCTCTAAACTCCCTTGCTCATTTCTCATGGAGGACCTGAACATGAGTCTGGAATGTATCACTTTAAGCTGAAGAAGGAATGGCGTCACATGGCCCCTCCAAGTCCCTGCCCCTGTATACATGAAGGAACGTCTCCACCCCCATCGTCCAGCCCAGAAACTAAGGGTCCGACTCCGAGGGCCTTGCGGTAATTCCCTCACTGCAAGAAGTGAAGTTAAAGGGAACCAGGCAGAGGGGCTTCTTTGCAGTGGCACCCTCCCTGTGGAGCAGCCTCCCATCAGCTGTCAAAAAGATAAACAACTATACAACTTTCCAAAGACATCTGAAGGCAGCCCTGTATTGGGAAGTTTTTGATGTTTGATGTGCTTTTATTATGCTGGAAGCGAGCCAGAGTGGCTGGGGTACAAATAGTAAAACTGTTGTTATTAAGAAAAGTAGTGTGTCAGGGCACAGGCTAGAAACTGCTTGCAGAGGTGTTCCTTCTCTATATGAATCAAGGTGCCTTATAGGGAGAGTCAGACCATTAGTCTATTCAGCTCAGCATTGTCTGTGCTGACTGGGTCTGACCAGGAATATACCCAGCCCTACACAAAGATGCCAGGGATGGAACCTGGGACCTTCTACATGCAAAACAGGTGTTCTATCACTGAGCTCTATAGATGAAAGAACAAGAGCTGTAACTCCATGGGAGAGCGCTTGCCTTGCACATAGAAGGTCCCAGGTTCCATTTCCATGTGGTGCTCAGAGAGAATCCCTTCCTGAAATCTCAGAAAGCTGCTGCCAGTCAGTGTAGACAATACTGAGCTAGATGGACTAATGGTGTGACTCAGGGCAAGGTTGGTTCCTATGGCTTGTACCCAACTAAGTTTTACTTGGGAGTAGAACCACTGAAATGAATGGACCCAAATTAGGCATGACTGGTAATTTCAATGGCTCTACTCCGAACAGGGCACACACTGAATACAACCTTATGCTCCTGTGTATGTGAGGAGGAGCGTTTAATCACATGAATCCCCAACCATTCACCGACAGTCTTCTTATGCAATTCATTACTTATTTTAAACATTCCTATCCTACCTTAATAGCTAAACACTTCCTCAGCAGAAGAGATGTACAAAATGTCAGCTAAAGCAAGGGGTGTGTGAGTGGAAAACAAAATGCAACATTTTGAGTCCCATAAAATGCCATTCCATAAAGCAACAACATTAAAAGAAAAAAGCAGCATCAGATTTACTAATCACGGAATGCTGGTTGCGAGATCAATAATCTACTTTTTAAAGGCCATATCAGCACAATCCTCCTGTCCCCTCACCTGGCTCCTTTCTCCCCTTCCTATGATAGTCAAGAAGAGTTTTAAAAGTTGCATGTGTTTAAAAGAAATATTTGCAAGCCGATAACAGGCTCCCCTTTCATCCCAGGAAACGTGGCACTGATGTGTCATTTGACCCAAAAGACAACGCAGAGGAGGAGGAGGTGGAGGAGGAAGAGGTTAAACTCTTGCCTTTGTCACAGAACCAGCATGGAGGCTAAGAATTGACCCTATTCAAGTTGGCTTATTAAAAGGGGCTTTGTCAAATGGTCTAGTTGATTGATTAGGCTTTCAATTGTTCAATCCTATTCAGGTTGGTTCATTTAAAGCGTTTTGCCAGTCTCCCATTTCAGATTTTTAGGTTGAAAATGGGGCTTTCAGGGAAATAGAAATATTCTCTGAATAACTTCCTAGCTAGGAGAATATCCCCATTTATTGTCTACTGCCACTGTTTCCCCTACCTGCTACCATTTGGCAGGATCCTCCCAACAATCTACTTCTTCCCAGCCAACCATGGATCACACAAGAAACAGGATGGTGCCAATCAGGAATCACCAGGTAAACCAGACAACATCATGCTGCCATGCCGCCAATCGAATTTGGCTAAGCGATGATGTCACTGAGGGTGGATTCAGCCAATTGGGAGAGACAGCAAGAGGGCAACATAAAAGGTTAGGCTGGCATTTTTGTGGGCACTGCCAAAAAGGAAGAGGGAGGTGTTTTTTGACACTGGTTTTGACTCTGCCCTACTTATTAGTCATTGAATTTGCCACACTGCATGGACGTGAAAAGGGATATGACCATTTCAGCTTTTAAGACAACAGCAGATCATGACACATGGCATGGCATCACACCATGCTTCCCGCTACCCCCCCCCCAGCGACACAGTGGATCACAATGGCCTCATTCAGCTTAGCAAAAGTTTAAGTTTGTGGAGAAAGACCTACCAACGCTTGCTGTGGGAGTCATGCACAGCACAGACCCTGCGTACCCATGCAGTGAAGCGTGGAGAGATGAACAGAAGGGACATTTCATTAGTGAAGCAGTTAACGTGTTAACATACAAAAACTCTTTCTAAAAGAAAAAGGAGATTATCCTCCATTGCTGCTACTGCTGCATCTACTGCCAACACAAATGTAAAATTAAAGATTCACCGTGACTGAACCAGATCTTATAGTTCAGCCTTTTCAAGATCAAGGCAAATGTGAACAATCCTGGGATTCTTGACAGCCAGCTGTGATTGGATGAGTTTCAAACTCGCACACCCAGAGCTCCTCTCCAGGCCTTCTTGTTGGTGCTGCCACTGGGACTGCCCAACTGGCAGTTACCCATGACATGGCCTTTTCAGTTGTGGTTTCCTGGTAGCGCAATGCCCTCCCTGGTAAGGTGCGCCAGTCTCTCTCAGTAATGACTTCCAGGAGGAATTTGAAAGTGTCCTTCTTACCCAGGCACTTGGTGGCTGAAATATACTGTTCCTGGCAACCCTGAGATCACTGGATGAGATAAGGTTTTTAGTTGTAATGGTTTTTAGGATGGTTTTAATTGAAACTGTTTTTAAACTCTAGCTGTTTTTAGAATGTTTTAATTGTTTTAAAACAGTTTAAAAAGCATCAGCCAATAATAACAGCTGTGGATGCATTTGCTACTCTAGGTTCCTTCAGAAAGAAGGGTGGGATAGAAATTCAATAAATAAATAAACCAGTAAGATCATGGATCATACTGTAACTGATCAGAATTGTGAAGCTGGAAGGAACATCTAGTCCAACCCCCTGCAATGCAGAAATCTTTTGTCCAACATGAGCTCAAACCCACAACCCTGAGATTAAGAGCCTCATGCTCTACCGACTGAGCTATCCCAATTTGGCCCACTTCCTTTCCAGGGCATGCTTGTGTGTGTGACTCATTGACACAAGACTTTGTGAAGGGCAGTGCTTCCCACAGAAAGCATAGTGTCAGTAGAGGTAAATTGTGCATTCATTGCCCTGCCCACTTTTGCCTCTGGCCCCACCCACCATAGGCATGTGCCCTCAGGTTACGCAGCCCCCCCCCAGGCTGAAAAAGGTTCCCCACTCCTGTCCTATGGGAAAATGAGCAGGCAAGCCTAATAGTTTTGTGGTCAAAGAGAACACAGCATAAGCTCATAAACTGGTAATGGGAGGCTCATCTGTCCTTGTAGCTTCAGTGGGCAGAGCACCTACTTGGGGTGTAGAAGGTCCAAAATTCAATTTCCAGCATCTCTAAGTAGGGCAGAAAAAGAGTCCTTGCTTCAAATTCTGGACAGCTGCTGCCAGTCAGTGCAGACAATACTGACCTAGATAGGCCACTGGTCTGGACTCAATAAATGGCAACTCCCTACGTTTGTAATCGAGCAGGACTTGGTTTTCCTCCTGCACTTTTGTGAATGGCCGTTTCTGAACCCAAAGCCAGCAGAACTCCTTTATGCTTTGGTTATAGCTGTTAGTCCTTAGGGCTGAAAGAGAGCAGCAGGGCTGTTTCAGCAATTGTTTAGAACAACTGTCTTCTATCTTTTTAATTTGTTAAAGTTTTAAAATATTCTTTATTAAATTTCAAGGCAAAAAGAAAAAAATCCATGTACTCTTCAATACATAATTTTGTTTTCTGTTTTTCTGACTTCCCATCCCATTTTCCATTGTTATCTTATTTTCTCCCCTTTTGCTGCACCCTGTCTTCTATCTCATATATAACAACAATATTACAGTCAGCTCTAATTCTTTCTGTTGCTCATACTTCAAATCCTGTTTGTGAGGTCTTCTATCTTTTTAAATCCAGGTCCAAGATTGAGGTCTTGGAATCCCAGATTGTGGCCAAGATACACTTCTAAGCAGGCACACACTGGTAACTGCCCAAGAATCCAGGTATTGGCTCTTGGTTAATTTTGTGGAAACATGAAGGGAGAAAGAGGAAGGAAGAATCAAAGAAAATAATGGGGTGGGGGCAGAAATTTGGCATTTGTTTTTATAGGCCCTGAAAAGGAAATAGAAGGTGATTGTTCTCTGGCTTTTAAATCAGTGAAGGGACAGAACTGAAAAGAGATAAATATATATTTAAAAAAACAGCATCTACCAGGATTGGAAGACAACCCCCCACCCCAATAAAAAAGGTTAGTAAATATATCTTCTGCCAGACTCTTAGGAATGGGCTTCATAAAAAGCACATCAGCACATCTTAGCATCATAAGGCATCATAGTTATTGAAGTGGCATTGTTAAAAAGCTAGAAGCTCCTGGGTGCAACTGCAATTCTTTTCCTTTTTTTAAGTCCAAAGGTTGTGCAAAGAGATAGTTCCAACAACAATCCTTTCAAAACAAGGCCCATTGCTTGAGCACTGGGAGCCACACTGGATCCTCAGCCTCCAAAGACTCTCTATTGCCTCAGCAAGCTAACATGAGAGAGATGGAGCCCTAGCTGTTCCATGTCCCTTTGTGACAACACATCGTCCTCCTCCTCCTCCTTGTGAACTCAGCATCTATCTGAACTCCCCTGAGTGGAATCTCATGATTCATGCACCTGTCGCCATGCAACACCTGTGCAGATCAGCAAAATGGAGCCTATGCTGGTGCAATTGGGAGGCGGGGGCAGGGCGCAGGGAGTTGTGCCAGCACAGCTCATTATGGGAAAGGCAACCTGCTCAGCAAACAGCAAAAGCCACGTTTGCGAAGTCATGCAGTTGCATCTACCCTCCAAGAGCAAGGGCAGATCAGGGTGCAGGAATCGTGAGAGAAGGCGTCTCACAAGTGCCTCTAAACATAGCATTTTCCCTCCCACGGAAGCTAGGGCAGGGTAGTGGGAGGTAAGAGCCCCAGATGACTTACCTGTAGGGATAAATGTTGGCTGTTGCAATTGCATGTTTGCAAGGGCCTGTTGGTAATGGAAAACACTTGGGTTAAAGACTGTGGTGGCACCATTGTTTTTTTCAAGCGCTGGCCTCTTTGGTAAAGGTTGAAGAGCACCAGGTGGCAACGCCTGCAGAAGGAAATGGAGGGAACCAAATGTGGTGGGTCAAAGAAGGGAAATTGGGGGAAGGAGGGAAAAGAGAAGAGAACAAATTTTAGACAAAGCAATGATCAAACAAGACATGCTGTGCACTCTGCAAATCACCTGCAACTGTGTTGGATCAAAAAAACCAAGGTGGGGGAATAGGTCAAGCAGACTCCAATGAGATAATCGTCAACTTCATCATCATCATCATCACCACAACTTCACAGAATATGCAGTTAGTGCAGATGGGGAAAGTGAAATTGTGCCAATGAATTAAAAACAAAACAAAAGAGTGGGGGGAGTGAGTGCTCTGAAGGGCACATCTACATCTCAAACTCAAAGCAGGTTTCAGAAGAAGCTTTGCTGCTGCAGCTCAGGTCAAGAACCAACAAAAGAAATTATCGGCAACTTTCACTACCCCCAATAATTTGGCACTGGGTATGCCTGACAGCTAAGCAAGTTTGAAATTGGTTTATACCCAAAGTAGGACTGTGCCCAAAGGAAGAACATCTGGAGTAGGAGTAAATGAGGAATAATTTTATCTTGGTCAGAGGAAGACTCAGAAGGCAGTTGCAGGCAACAAGCATAGGGGAAAAAACCCAAAACAAAATTACCAACTAAGAAAGGAAGGCAGGAAGGTAGGAAGGCAAAACAGCTATTAAAAAAACAACAGAGAAGATTAGCATAAGCATCATGTAAACTGAAACGCTAGCTGTGCTAGGGTTAGCTAAAGTTTACATGTATAAGCATCAGTCCTGTTCCCTGTGCCTATTTTGGGTTCCTGACATGATGTGCTAACTGTGCGTGCATTTGAATACATGGATCAAAAAGAATAGGGAAAACTGTTTCTCATCCTATCTGGCATGAATATAGGGAAATTATTTCCCACCCGTCAGGTGACTTCACATCTGATATAGCTCTGAAGTGACCCCACAACTGTTATTTCTACAACACCATTCATACAAGGACTCAAATATCCTCAACATGAGGATAAGAGGATAAAAAGAATTCTGGTCTGGATAAATTTTAGGGAGGAATTTGGGGAGGAGTGCCACTAAGCTGGAGTGTGTAGGGGGTTTAGCTGTTTTCATGATGTTAAACAAATTTTGCATATGCAAAATGCATAATAGATTGCTGCCTTCCCTGAGCTCTTGAGAAATGCTAGGCTTGAATTTTCAGTAAGGAAACAAACATTACAGATTAAACTCTTATTTCAGCTGCACAGGGCTTCTGGAACTGCAGAGAAACTAGGAAATGTTTGCAAGGGCAAAGCAGCACAACTGCTAGAATCGCCTACCACTTTTATTGGGCAGAATGAGGGATAGGCTGGTGGGGTGGGGCAGTTGTTGCACCAATGGGTGTGTACAAAACACCAGGCCTAATCCCACTTAAACTCCTTGGTTCAACAGCATTGTGAATTGAGGTTGCCAGACCCTATTGCTAACTGGATCCCTTGGTTTTCTGTTGTTGTCATGTATACGTGCGTTTGTGTGTAATTTCAGTGGACCATGAGATATGATTAATTTCACCCAAAGGCAAATTGTTTTGTCCCCACCCCTCTGTTAACAGGCCACCTCTTTCTTACAAGCAAATTGTCTCTTTTAGACCTGCCACATCAAGGTGCTTCCAAGTCAGTCAAACCTGTTTCACCATCAGATTCAAAGGTTGCAGGGCGAAAGGGCGGGGGGGATGCTTTCAAACTGCTGTGTGGTATATTGCTCTGCCTGTTGCTCATCCCCAAAGAACATGTCTCAACAATGGGGAGACATAGGGGAAAGGTTTAAGGAAGTGCCAACTTTTCTTAACCATTAACTACTTTTACACAGTTAACTCCTTACTCACTCAACCTCACTCAAGATTTCAATTAAATCCCCTGCAGTCTTCTGGGCTTGTGGGAAAAATACTGAGCCAAATTCTTGAGGGGGGGGGCTCTCTTTCTAAGTAGGGTACATGGTTTCCAGAGATGGCATGAGAGTCCATGTACCCATCACTCTCTGAGTTGCCTGGTGATGTGGAACTCATGACCCTCCAAATGTTACTTGACCACAAGCTCCCATGATGCCTTGACTATTGACAATGTTGGGTTGGGATTATGGGAGTAGGGGGTCCAATGCCATCCAACATCACTGCAACAGAACCACACTGTGCATTCCTGATTTGGAAAGGCTCAGAACAAAAACACTATGAGAACCTGTAGCATCAGGTACAGGTACCTAGAATTTCCTTTCCCTTGTTGGTCTGTCTATATTTTACAGGCAAGCTATGAATGCCCTTTGGATGAAAAGGGCGGGCAAACACAGACATAAGGGAAGACTATAAGAAGAGCCTGCTGGATGAGGACAATGGCCCATCTAGTCCCGCATCCTGTTCTCACAGTGGCCAACCAGCAGGGTCTGAGCACAAGAGCACTTTGCCCTCCAGTGGTTTCCAGCAACTGGCATTCAGATGCAGTACTGTCTCTGGCTATTGATCATGGCTATTGTGGCTGGTAGCCATTGATAATTGTATCCTCCTCTGCAAATGTGCCTAATCCTCTTTTAAAGCCATCCAGGCTGGTGGCCATCACTGCCTCCTGTGGAAGCAAGTGCCACACTTTAACTATGCTCTGCACAAAGAAGAAATTTCTTTTATCTGTCCTGAATCTTCCATCATTTGGCTTCATTGGACGTCCACCAGTTCCAGTCTTATGAGAAAGGGAGACAAACTTTCTCCTTGCCACACATAATATTAGTACCTTCTTTCATGCCTCTCACTCACCGTTTTCTCTGAACTAAAAAGTCCTGAACACTGCAAGCTTTCTTCAGGGTGTGGGTGTCACTCTATCCCTTTGGTCATTTTGCATGGCCATTCTCGAACTTTTTCTATGCTACAATATCCTTTTCAGAATGAGGCAACTATGCAGAGAATTCCAAATGTGGACTCTCCCCCTCCCAGGGTAGCACATCCTGTTTCGGTGGTGGAAGTGGTAGGGCAAGTGGAACACCACCTCTTGCACTTCTGTTGCCTGAGGCTTAAGTGCTTCACCCTGCCTCATTGGTGGGCTGACTCTGCCCTTACCCCCCCGCCCCCCACACTGGTACCTTTAGGTCTAGGCACCAAGTGCAAAACAAAAGGGGGAATAACAGTCTAGAATATATCATGAATGGAAATGCAGGAGTGCAAATGGCAAACTTGACAGTTTCAGAAACAGGTTTCACTTCAGTTTTGAAAGACCATGGAGACTGCACATCAGAGGGACCTTATGCTCTGTCCCACAGCTCTCAGTACAGCACTGGCCCAGTTTGGGTTAGGCAAGCATGGGCTGGTTTATTGGGTTCTTAAATAAGCATCCGACCCCATGAAAAACCACAGCCTCATAGATTTACTATATTGCAATCTCCACTGTCATAGTGAAGGTGTAGCATGGAGATAAGTGGAGGCCTGGAGAATGAATTTGGCCATGTGACTGGAGCACTTTTACACCAGGTTTTGCACGGGCTTGCGTGTGTGCATCTGAAAACAGGGCCTTCAGCAGCCAAGCTCCAAGCAGCACTTTAATTCTTGAACCACTAGTGCAATTCATGCTGCAAGACTGGCAGGCAGAGCTCTGAAGCTTGAGGGCGTCACCTAGGCTGCGTTACCAGCCCCAGAGCAGTCCATCAACTGACACAAAAGGATCAATCCCAGCCCCCAGGCCCTATAAAATCCAAGCCTCAGAGCTTAAGCCTCTTAATCTCAGGGTTATGGGTTTGAGTCCCATAGTGGGCGAAAGATTCCTGCACTACAGTGTTGGACTAGATGACCCTCACGATCCCTTCCAGCTCCCTGATTCTTTGAAATATTGTAAGAAACGTAACCTTAGGTTCAGCTTCCCCTCCAATAGAGGGAGAAAATTGGGTGCAGGGGGAAAACATCTACGTTTGCCAGATTTAAGCATATTTACATTAAAGGCAATTTTAACATTCACAAAACCCATGAATCAGGGCTGCCTTTTTAATCCATTAATCCACTTCTAAATACATATATGAAGGGACGCGGGTGGCACTGTGGGTAAAAGCCTCAGCGCCTAGGGCTTGCCGATCAAAAGGTCGGCGGTTCGAATCCCCGCGGCGGGGTGCGCTCCTGCTGCTCGGTCCCAGCGCCTGCCAACCTAGCAGTTCGAAAGCACCCCCGGGTGCAAGTAGATAAATAGGGACCGCTTACTAGCGGGAAGGTAAACGGCGTTTCCATGTGCGGCTCTGGCTCGCCAGAGCAGCGATGTCACGCTGGCCACGTGACCTGGAAGTGTCTCCGGACAGCGCTGGCCCCCGGCCTCTTGAGTGAGATGGGCGCACAACCCCAGAGTCTGGCAAGACTGGCCCGTACGGGCAGGGGTACCTTTACCTTTTTTACCTAAATACATATATCTAGCAGGTTATCTAGTCAAAGGCAGCAGCACATACTAAAGTCTCTAGCTGCCTTTGTTCTAAAAGAGGTCAGCAGACTTAACCAGGGAGCTGCCAGGCTAGACACAGAACGAAATGTGCACTTTGACTCTGATTTTGCTCTGAATAGGTTTCCTGCAGAAGACTCTGGCAGCATGAAAAGAATGCAATAGCAGAAGGGACCTGCTAGCCTGCTAGAAAGTACAGTCATTCCCCTGACTGGGTTCTGTGGTTCATAGCTGTGGGAAAAGGGGGAAATCAAAAGCTCAGCAGCAGGATGCACACTCCGCATGCAGAAGGTGACCCAGGGGAGGCTGGGATGAGCTTTTGAATGATTAGACATTCAGCCCAAGTTCAGAGCAGAATTTAGGGGAGAAACTGCCTCCCCTGTTTTGCATCTGGGGCATTTGCATTTTCAGAGGTAACTTTCCCAAGCTTGTTACTCTGAGTGGATGGCAGCTGGCTTCTCCCCACCCAAACCAAATGTGTCATTCTGCTGGTGGGCACCAGTCAACAGGAGCAAGGGAACTCTGACAAGTCTCCACCCCCCATGGAAGTTGCACCACCAGTTTTGCAACCTGGCAGTGGGACTATGAAACTGTGGTTGGAAGTGGGGCAGCCCTAGACCCAGGTTCAGTCCTGGGTAAACCCACCCACCCCCATGAATGGTGTTCGGTATCATCTTGGGAAGGGCTTCTTCTGAAATTCCAAAGTGCCTACTGTAGAGCAGAGCTGATAATACAAAACTGATCAGATTCAAAAGCCAGGAACCAGACCCCTCTCTGCTGTCTGAATTGTGTCTTTTGTCAACGGCAAGGCTAGGTTTGGACACAAACAATTCCTAATGAAGGTTTGCTGCTCAAAGCTGCCACCAAATCATGCCAAGCAAGCCAGAGAACTCCCAAGCATTCCGAGTTGTGTCTGTGCATTGGCATGTGAGCAGCAATTAGGATGGCAATGTGCCCACCGAAGTGTGGGCCTTGGCTGGGCCCTCGGCTCCCTGCCACTGAAACTCCTTGAAGGCTTCCCCTGAGACATTTCAGACCAAAGGTGTGAAACAGAACCTTCTGTGTTCCGTGCTATAAAAATGCGGCAGCTGTCGCTGTTTGAAAACAGACTGATTGAAAAACACTGTGATAATTGCATTGCTCCATAACCACATCTGGTCTTTTTGGAGGAGGAGGGTGGTGAAAGGCACCTTCCGTCACCGAAAAATGGTTTTCAATTAAGCCAGAGGTTGCAAAGTTTCCTTTGGTGGGACAGTGGAGTGAATGGGACATTATTTCCTGTCTGATGGGCACTCTCCTTAGGTAACACACAATATACAACAGATATGAGAAAGACAGAGAAAGACACACAGAGAGAAAGAGAGATGTATTCCATGAAGTCTAAAGATGGTGACATGCAAAGCGAGAAGGTGATAGGTCCAAGTACCGGGTCAAAGGTTGCCTCGAGGGGTCGCTTCAGTGATCGGACAGCTGGCTGAGTCTTAATTAGCAGGCAGCGAGCACATGATGGTAATGAGCCAAGGAAGGGGATCGGGGTTCAAGCACAACAACAGAAAAAACAGCAAGCAGAAATGCATCAAAAAAGAGAGCGGACATTGTGGAGCAAGTGAGGAAAACAAAACAAAATAAAATGAGTGAATTATACAATATATTAAAAAAACAGATGACACATGCACAGTGGAGAGCCCTGTGACAACTGAAGTAACACATCAAGGTTTGCTTTGCCTATGCTGCAGGGTAGATGCAGAAACACCTGGAACCTGAGAGAGCTTTATGGAGGTCCCATTTTCCATCAAGTACTGAGAACTGGTTACAAATTCCCAAATAATTCAGATAATTATTATTATAATACATTGTTAAATTGTTTGCATTTTGGGTGCTGAAAAGCTTGCTGCAAAAGTTTTTTGTTTTCTTTTTTCTTTTTTTAAAAAACTTTTTTTTAAAAGTTGTATTTTTTCATGCGTTCCTCATGCTCTCCCCTTTTTCCATTTTGCCTGTCAATGTGCCACAAACGGCTAAGCACAGGCATGTGTGGGCAAGATGGCAGCTTCTTGGGGTTTGTTTTGGGGTATTTTTTTGGTAGCCTAGCAACTTCTGTTCTCTGACTGGTAGGGCTGCCCCCAAACTCAAGAGGTACAAGGCAAACACAGAGCCTTGAAAGGAAGGCAATGAATGTCAGGAGTGCTCTGATGGTGTTTCCTGCTTTGCAGGGGGTTGGACTCGATGGTCCTTGTGGTCTATTCCAACTCTATGGTTCTGTGATTCTATGAATAATGCAAAGCTATTTGGGTGGCAAGACCCTGGCAACTTAAGAGATCGACAAACAGTTTAAACAGGCTCATTAAGGGCACACCGGAAAGGCAAGTTGGATGTTTGCACTGGGAAGGGACGGCATGAACTGAAGATGCAGCTGGGACCAGCAGGGTCACAGTTAAGAAGTCAGGAATTAGGTCTGACCAAGAAAGAGTGTCATGAGCTGATGGTTCCAAAGACTCATTCTGAGTAAGAGTGCTTAGACTCAAGTGCCAGTCTTTAAGCAGCAATCTTTCTCAAGACAAGAAGAGCCACAGTGACATGCTCTTTCTCCTACAACTTAATGATAAACAGGGCAGTGCAGAAACGAGCATTACAGCAGGCATTGACACACAGGAACATACAAAGGGTCCTCTTGAGCCATCGAGTCAAGCCTACCCCAGCCTGTTCCCTCCAACTGTTTCAGAATCCAACTCTCACCAGTCCCAGCTAGCAGCAGCAGTGTTTCCATCACCCATCAGGACTGTAGAGCTGTGCTGAGTGGCACTGATGGGAACTGCAGCACCAAGTTGGGGAAGGCTGCTCTAGGCTGACGTTGGGTCGTATCCAACTGAATTATGCTCGGAGTGGACTCATTACAATCAATGGACCCAAGTTAGCCATGTCCATTAATTCCAGTGGGTCTTCTTGGAGCAGGACTAGCATTGGACAGAACCCACTGTGTTTCCAACACTGGCCCATCAGCTCCCCCTGTGAAGCTGGGCAGGGCATGATGGCAACAGGCCTTTGCCGTGGCTTGTCCAAAGCAACTGGTCGTTTGGATGTGGCAGATCCATGCAATCCTCATGAGTAACAACCACCAAGCGAACTCTCCTGATTGTCATGGATTTGTCAAATCATCTTTCAAAGCTACAGAAACCAGTGGTTGCCACCACACTCCATGGCAGTAAATGCCATAGCTTAACATGCTGAGTGTGAAGAAGCTCTTCCTTTCATCTGCTCTAGCTCTTCTGCCAGTCTGTTTCACAGGGAGATCCCAAATTGTAGCACAGCCATCTCCCATGCCCCCTGCCCCTCCTAAGCTGTGGATGCCCTTCCCACTGAGGTGCACCTGGCACCACCACTGCAGATTTCGCTGGGTGCTGAAGACACACCTCTTTAACCCCTGACTCGTTGACTCCTGAGGCGCATATTTTTAGGATCCAGATTATTCATGTGATTTTAATGTGTGTTAAACTGTTTTTAATGGGCATAGATAAATAACAACAATAAATTATTCAGCCTTCCCCTTCCTTCCCCTGAACTCAAACACTCACACACCATTTTAAAAAGCCTTTTTTGCCTCTCCTTACCACAGAGGATGAGAATCTGTGTTGGATTCCAGCTCCCACCAGCCCCAACAAGCACGGCCAACAGGGATGGGTGATGGGAGCTGCAGTCCAACAACTGACTGGCAGGATGGCTCATGATGGATAGCTCAGTCAGTAGAGCATGAGATTCTTAATCTGGGGGTTGTGGATTCAAACCCCACGTTGGGCAAAAGATTCTTGCATTGCAGGGGTTGGACTAGAAGACCCTTGTGATCCCTTCAACTCTACAATTCCATGAACCTGTCGAGGGTGACAGGTTTTCTTGGATTTTTCCAGGCAACATGGATTCTGTTCAGGGGGATGCCTGCTTTATTTACTTTCCAGCGACAACATCTAATGAGCACTGTGCTTTGCATGCAAAATACAGCTATTTAGGGTTTACTGTAAGGTTTCCTTGCTGGGCACATAAGCATGTTTGCCCACCCCACACGCCTTTGGAAGCACAACCTTATGTAGGGAGTTCCACAGGTTTGGGCCCACTACCCTGAGTGTGAAGCTGCTATCAGTTATAAGCTGTGTAGCTAAGCCACAGCCAAGGGGGTCAGGGGTCAGGGAGACAGGATAATGCCATGTGCAATGCTCTTGGGTTCTTCAAACTCTTTTTCTAAGGCTGAATGTGAAGCAAAGAAATAAAATGGGGACATTTTCTACATTGGCAGGGGACGGTGGATTTTGTGACATTTGAAGCCCTTTCAATTCTAGGGGATTGAAAGGGCTGGTGCATCATTTTAAAAGCCCCAGGATATATGGGACCCCCATGTATAGGGAACGTGCAGAGTGGGTTGACACAAACAGGACTGGACTGTGTATGCTGAGATGTGATGGGACACTCTGATGCTATTACAAAAGGTGGGGGAGGCTCCCCTTGCCCCTCCTTCTCTCCTTGTGGGCCAAACACACAACATTTTGCAAAGGCCTTGTTGGGCGACGGCCCCCTTACCATTCCGGCTGCAGCGGTTTGATTCACCTGGTGTTGAGCTGCCTTGATTTTGGCTTGCAGGTGTGCAGGGGGGTGAAAGTACTTGCATTTCTCCCGGGAGCATCGCCCTTTGATGTAATCCATGCACACCGTCACGGTGTTCTCATTTGTGTCTATCATGGCAATATCTATCGGGTGAGCATAACGGCAGTCATTCTCGCCGCGTGTGCAGTTGCCACGCTGAAACTCCCGGCAAACCTTAAAAGAAAGCCACATTATTTGAACCAGGAAAAACACACGAAAACACCCAGGAAAAACCACTTCTCCATTTTCCTCCTAATGTGAACACAAAGGGCTAAGAAAAGCACAGCCGCGGGGTGGGGACAAATCTCAGCTGCCCCTCAACTACAGTGGTACCTCGGGTTAAGTACTTAATTCATTCTGGAGGTCTGTTCTTAACCTGAAGCACCACTTTAGCTAATGGGGCCTCCTGCTGCTGCTGTGCCGCCAGAGCATGATTTCTGTTCTCATCCTGAAGCAAAGTTCTTAACCTGAAGCACTATTTCTGGGTTAGCGAAGTCTGTAACCTGAAGTACCACTGTAAGTGTCATGTTTCGTCTCATTGCACCTCCATCCCGTTTATTTAAAGCAGGGTTGTGGAAACTTTTTGGCTCTACGGGGCAGATCCTTATCAGGGTTGGCCTCACAGGCCAAATCACAGACAGTGTCACCCACCTGGCAATCAGTGTGATGTCAAGTGCAAGGTGCTTTAAAGTTCTGAAGCTGGGACATCAAAGCACCATGCAAGGCACTGCAAAAAGCAATGCACTGAGGAAGAGGTTTGTGGCACAATCCCCAGCTGATGAGCAGGGGTTAAGTCCTGCTCTGCTTGGCTGTGAGACCCTGTTCTCTGCTGGGAGCTTCTGCATGCTTTACAGATTTTCTGCCACTGAGTGACAGCTCTTCCCAGCCAACAGAAGCAAGATCACACCTATATTACTGAAGAAGTGCAGCCGCTATATTAATAGGGGCTCCTGGTTCACTTCCATTTTCTACTGGACTGTTAGCTACTGAAACGGTAGGGCACAACAAAACTCTCAAACCCAGACTAGATGAGAGAAGCTGGGAAGCAATTTTAAGCAAACAGTGATCTTCAACTTATGAAAAAGGGATGATGTGTACTCCAGCGCCAATTAAGAAAAAGGCTTTAAGAGCTTCCTTGTCTTTGGATTAAGAGGTCAAACAAGATACATGTTACACTGTTCTCAAGGAACTGGTATAGCTAAGACTTCAAAAAATGGGGAATTAGTTCCGAGCCATAACGAAGAAAGGGTTTCAGAATCCGGACCCCTCTCCTCTCTCACAGCAGAACTTCCATAGGGCAAGCACATTTGGGCAAAAGGTGCCCAGTTAAATTTGGTTAAGAATTGCCTTCCTCATCTAATAATAATAATAATAATAATAATAATAATAATAATAATAATAAATTTTATTTATATCCCGCCCTCCCCAGCCGAAGCCGGGCTCAGGGCGGCTAACAACACTAAAACAGTACAACATTATAAATACATTCTAAAAATTAATTAAAATACAAATTGATGGCAACCATAGACTAAAGCTTTGTAGAGATTGCCAAAGGAGGGAGTCAGGCTGCGCCCTGACCAAAGGCCTGGTGGAACAGCTCTGTCTTACAGGCCCTGCGAAAAGATGTCAAGTCCTGCAGGGCCCTTGTCTCTTGCGACAGGGCATTCCACCAGGTTGGAGCCGCAGCCGAAAAAGCTCTGGCTCTAGTTGAGGCCAGCCTAACCTCTCTGTGGCCTGGGACCTTCAAGATGTTTTTATTTGAAGACCGTAAGTTCCTCTGTGGGGCATACCAGGAGAGGCGGTCCCGTAGGTACGAGGATTAAGAGGTCAAACAAGATACATGTTACACTGTTCTCAAGGAACAAGCAAAGCAACCATCGCCATTTGGTACAGGGTGCAAGATACCTCCAGTTTGTCTGTCCTCATCATTTTCTGCCCAGTGGAGCTCCCTGCCACAGAAACAGCTGGGTTCCCAGACACCAGGACAGGTGTATTTGGCAACAGCTCTGCAGGAACCAAGCCCATTCCAGGAGAGACATGACTTAGGTAGGGACTGAATGCCATGGTGGGGCTAGTTGCAAGTGAAGGAGTCACAGGAAAAGTTGTCTGCCAAGAAAGAGGAGAAAGCAATGGTCATGGAGTTAGCAGGGTCTAAGAATGCACTGGTCCTGTGTCCAACCCCCTGTACCCCCAGCTCTGGAAATGTTTGATTCAGTTGCACTGGCTAAGAGGAGGACTCTTGTTCTCAGTCTATTAATCCTCTTGGTTTGCTTCTGATCTTCTCCTCCCGCTTTCATTGATTCAGATGTGCATGGAGCATTTCAAGCACAAGAAGCATCTTCATCGGTATGGACAAGGAACAGTCAATGATCGTTAAGAGCTTAATAGCACAATTAAGGAGGCACCTTGGGCAATTAACACAGTCCCCCTACCCTGCACCTTGCAATTAAGCATTCACCGGTGGGAGTTAAGGGATCAAGCCAATTCTGGACATGAGACGCATGGCAGATAAGCTGGCAAGAAGCTCCCCTGGCATAGACAAAAGGGCTGGTACCTTTTGGGTTTCTTAAAGCAACACATGTCTAGAATCAATACGTAACTTCAGTTTTACATTACACTTTTGGCTGCCCACTATTAGCCTTGCTTCCAGCCAGCCTAAGAAAAGCACAAGAGCGCTATCCTCTCCTGCAATTTCTAGCAACTAGGATTCAGAAATGTACTGCCTTTGACAGTGGAGGAAGAGCATAGCCATCCTGGCTATTAGCCACTGATAGCCTCTTCCTCCTCCTCCATGAATTTGTCTAATCCTCTTTTAAAGGCATCCCAGTTGGAGGCCATCGCTGTCTCCTCCGGGAGAGAGTTCCATAGTTTAACTATGCAGTGTAAGAAGAGGCACTTTCTTTTTTCTGTCCTGAATCTTCTAACATTCACTTTTCATTGGATGGCTATGTATTCTAGTGTTACAAGAAAAATAATTCTTTCTCTATCCACTTTCTCAATGCCATGCATAATGTTATACACTTCCTTCCTTCATGTTACCTCTTATTCACAATTCTTCTAAACCAAAGGTTTTCAACCTTTTTGAGTCCACGGCTTCCTTGACGGACTACCTTCTTTCTGCAGCACCCCTGTGGGGCTCAGGAGCTCAGTAATGCCCCCCCCCTTGCCTGCAGAGCTGGCAGTCCCTCACCCCTTTTTGAACACCCTCCCTTGTGGTGTGTTCCCTCAGCCGCCTCTCCTTTCCCCTCTCCTTGGAAGTCCTCTAGCAGCAGCCCCTGGTCACTGAACTGCACCTCCCAGAGGACCATTCGCCTGGGGAGCTTGTAGCCAGGGCTGCTGCAACAAACAGCTGGGCAAGCCTTTGGGAGGCAGAGATGTGAGAGGGCATCAGAGGAGGGAGGGAAGAGAGGCAGAGGCCAGGGTTGTCCTGACTCCTGACCATCATTCAAGGCACCCCAGCATGCCACGGCACCCTGCTTGAAAACCACTGCTCTAAACTAACGTCCTCCCCCATGCTGTAATCTTTCCTGATAGGGAAATTGCCCCATCAACTTTTCCTTTCTACAATATCAGCAGACTGTCCCTGAGGGGATGCAGCCCCTGCCTCCCAGAGAGAAATAAGGTTCTTCACCCCTCTTTTTAGATGTGATGATGATGATGATTCCGCCCTTCATCCATAGATCTCAGGGCGGTTCACAACATAAAAAGTACACAATAAAATAAAAACCAAAACAAACCAATAATTCCTTCTAGCGGATCCCACCGTTAGCCACCAATAAAGTAGTGGACCTAGCCTGCTAACTGCCCCCACCTCATGGTATGCCAATTAAATGAATGTTTATAATTTACCACAGGCTATCTTGTGGGGATCTTGTGCGAGGGAAAACTTAAGTGATTTAGAGCCTTAGGCAGGAGCTGAACAAACAAAAAAAGTTTTATTAACAGAAATAAGAAGTTTGTGAAAGAAAGTTGGGTCAGGAGATGCATTCTTTCAGATAGAAGTTAACTTATCACTTAAACTGAATACAATGATGTCACAGGCTTAAACACAGCAGTATAGGCACAGCCTTTCTTAAACTTGTTACTCAGAAATCAGCTGTTACACTTCAATTTCTGTAACTTCTCTCTGGGTCCTTTTGCTTAATCATGGCAGGTTAATACTTTTAACACACCACAGCTTCCTTTATCATTTATTCATTTGTTTCATGAGCGCGGGTGGCGCTGTGGGTAAAAGCCTCAGCGCCTAGGGCTTGCCGATCGAAAGGTCGGCGGTTCGAATCCCCGCGGCGGGGTGCGCTCCCGTTGCTTGGTCCCAGCGCCTGCCAACCTAGCAGTTCGAAAGCACTCCCGGGTGCAAGTAGATAAATAGGGACCGCTTACTGGCGGGAAGGTAAACGGCGTTTCCATGTGCTGCGCTGGCTCGCCAGATGCAGCTTTGTCACGCTGGCCACGTGACCCGGAAGTGTCTCCGGACAGCGCTGGCCCCCGGCCTCTTAAGTGAGATGGGCGCACAACCCCAGAGTCTGTCAAGACTGGCCCGTACGGGCAGGGGTACCTTTACCTTTACCTTTCATGAGCGAGGGGTGCTTTTTGCCAGTTCCCCTCTCCCTTAGCAACCCCCTCCTGAGGTATTCCAGTTAGTGTAACAGACCTGAGGGATCCCCTCACCCCTTCTTTCTGGTTTGGGGGTCTTCTTTACCTAGAGGTACCTAGAGGTACCCTCTGTTCCTGACAGGAATGAGCCCCAGGGAGTCCCTGCTCCCCCAGCTCCTGCCTCAGACTCAGCCCTCCACTTTAACTCCTGTCTGAATCCTCTCCCAAGACGCTCCACATGGCCTCCCTCGCTAAGCCACAGGTATTCTCCTCAGAGCCAGTTCTCCCTCAGACAAACCCTCTCCTGATCCCTGTCCCCCATCCCAAATCCAGCTCTGACACTCTCCCTCAGAAACGGCACCTTTTGTTCTCCCGCCCAAAGTGCTGGCTCCGTCCACCTTTGACTGTCTGTCTTGACAGCCAATCAGAGGGAGGCTCATTTCAGGGGGATTGCAGAACCAGGTGCTGGTCTGGTTCAGCTGCCCGCCACAACCCTCCTCCCCAGTACTCAGACCAGGGAAAGCCAACTGGACACCCTCCAGATATGGCTAGACTACAAACTGCAAAACACATTGAAGTTGAACTCCATAACTCCATGTTTTCTTAGCTGAGAATTTGAGTTGCTTTGGCATATAATTTTACTTTTTCTATAAAAAAAATGCAGAACATCATAAACAGGCGTCTCAGTTCGGCTTAAAACTGGGGCCAGCTCAACTTGGGAAATACAAAGACATGTATAGTGCAGAATACTCTTTAAAAAGCCAGCACATCACTTGAAAATGACTATGGATTGGAAGTGGAGACAATATATGCACCTTTCCCTGCTTATCTGTTTGCTTTGTAAGATGAAAAACCTTAATAAAAGCTATTTTTTTTAAAAAAAGCCAGAACATACATAATAGCCCCCAAAAAGATGAACACACTGCAGTCCAATTTACAATAAAGGCTGTAGAAAAAGAGGTATTTTACCAAGACCTGTCTGAAAATATTGAGGGATGGCTGGGGCAGCTCAGAAGGTTTATGAAGCCATAAGGGACATGCAAGATGGAAGGAGTGAAGGAGGTTGTTCAAGTTACCTGGTTCTAAACCATTAAGGGCTTTAAAAGGTGAAAGTTAAACCATTCACCCCATATTTTACAATTCATGCCGAACAGGAGTCATCCCAAAACTAAATGGTACTTCTTACAAGAGTAACTTGAGTTTTATGCATTTATGGACTATAAGTGTCCTGTACAGATTGTAGCACCAAGGGTCGTCTTCCTTAACCATGGTTATGTGTTGCATCAGTTAAGTGTAACATCAGAATGCTTAAATCATGGGCAAGGATTGGCTGCAGACTAGGATGTAAAATCACTGTTGCAAAAATGGGTTTGCAAGGCAACTTACAATTGGCTGCAATTGTGCTCCCGGTAGCATGAACTGCATTTGCTGTGCAAACATGGCTGCGGCTGTCTTTTGCTGGATCAGGTTGTTGCGTCCGTTGATTTCGAGTTGTGTTTTTAAGTGCGGCGGAGGATGAAGGTATTTGCAGTTTTCTCGAGTGCAGCGACCCTGGGGGGAAAATGCGAAATGTTTTGCTGAGCTAGGCCAGTGCTTCCTTTAGCGCTCACAAAAGATCTCAGTAACAACAACCCCCAAATCCACAACATATTCAAGATTCTTCCTGCTCAGTTTTGTTTGCACTGACTCAATCCACACCATACATTTAAAGCATCTTTAACCGTCTTGGCTTCCTGCCCCAAAGAATCTCAGGAACTGTAGTTGGCCCTTTGTAGAACTGCAATTCCCAGTACCCTTAACTGACTGCAGCTCCCATGATTCCTGGGGAGGGGGGAAGTTTTCCAAAACTTCCTTTTGTATAAACTCCCTGTGAAGAGAAAGTGATCATTCCACTCCCAGAACTGTGTCACCATATACACAAGCTCCTTTTCCACTGCATGTGGAGGCCATGGTCCTAGGTTCCCCCCCCCCTTTCTTATTCTGGATCTTGCAAAGGATCCACTTTTGCCCCACCCCATCAATCCCGCACCACATCAATGGCACTAGGTCTGCCTTTCCAAAAACTACACCTCCTCTAAAGGCGGTCCAGGTCTTTTGATAGATCAGAATGTTTATGAGGCTTTAGAGCAGGGGGTCAGCAATCTTTTTCAGCTGTGGGCCGGTCCACCGACCCTCAGACCATGGGGGGACGACTATTTTTTTTGGGGGGGGGTGTGAATGAACAAATTCCTATGCCCAGCAAATAACCCAAAGATGCCTTTTACATAACACATTCTACTCATGTAAAAACAAGCTGATTCCTGGACCGTCCGCAGGCCAGACTGAGAAGGCGATTGGGCTGCCCACGGGCCTTAGGTTGCCTATCCCTGCTTTAGAGCAATGTATACAAATTCCTTCTAGCAGAAGCACAGACTGGACATGGAAGGCTCATGTCACCATGCCTTTTGACCAAATTTAGGATAAATCTGCTTAGATGTTTTTGCATTCATAGGAATCTGGGAACAATGTGTGGGCGCAGTTAAGAAGTACACTTGTGGCTTCCCCAGAAGTTTGATCCCTGAGCCAAGATTTCACTGAAATAGTCATCATTTTGATCAGCAACTCTACAGAGTGTCAGATAAGCTTGGGGGGGGGGAGTATCTCTCTGAAAGCAGCCTTGAAGATTACTATATCACCTGTTACAGATGTTGCAAACGACCATAGTGCTTACTCTGCATGCATTTAAGCTCAGAATGAATTGTCACAGGCTGTATCTTTCTTCTTTTTCTGCATTTTATTGCCACTAAACTCCCACTTTCCCATTTCTCTTCGCTTTGCAATCATGCATATAAAATCATGCCTGACATCTGAGGGTTGCACTACAAGCATTTGATGAAGTGAACTGAGGAACGTTAAGAAGAGCCTGCTGGATCAGGCCAATGGCCCATCTAGTCCAGCATCCTGTTCTCACAGCAGCCAGCTAGATGCCCCAATGGAGAATCGGCAAGCAGGACTTGAGCACAAGAGCAACTCTCCTCGCCTGCAGTTTCCAGCAACTGGTTTTCAGAAGCCTCTGGCCATGAAGGAAGAGCACAGACATCATGTCTCATCGCCACTGATCGCATTCTCCTCCATGAATGCTCTTAAAGCAACTCAAATGGACAATACGCACATTTGTTTTCATGCAAAAATCTGAGGGTGCGTTGGGCTCTGGTGTCAACATTTGCTTGAAGTTCCTAATAAATTCAGAGCAGATACTGTGAGAAAAGCCTCCACCTTCTCCTGCCATTACTATGCAACCCAAAGTTCGTCTCTTGACATTCTCTCCTGCTTTACCGCCAATGGTAATAATAATATTCTACATCTTTGGAGAATTCAGTGGTGGAATACCTATTTTGCATGCAGGGAGGGGGGGACCCAAGTTTAATCCCCAGCAACCCATTAAAAATTTAAAAAAAGAATCCTGGGTCAGCAAAGAAGCCAAAGGCCACCGTCTCCCCGTTGCTCCGACCATGGAGAGCTGCCACCACTTGCAGCAGACCCAGAACTAGGCTGGATGGACATGCTCCTCCGAAGGCTCCATCAGCTTAACGTTTGGCATGCACAAGGCGTACAGTTCTAAGGAAATGAGCTGAGCTGGCCAGTGTGTGTTTCTGAAAGGACTCTTCTTACATTCTGATCATATTTGTGGCACACGTCAATTTTAAACTCAACAGTTTGGAAGAACATTGCATTCCTAGGAACTAATGTGACCAAATTACCCCACAAGCTCTTCCCCTCTGATCAGTTTTCCTTTCTCATAAATATCACTGTTGGCATATATATGTTGCTGAGAAGAGAGCAGCAATCTATGTATGCGCAGAAGTGCTCTTGTTTTCATCACTTTGTATGCTGCTGGGTAATGATAGTGGGAGCTGAGCCCTAGTTCCCAATAAATCCTGGGTATGTACGACAGCACATACTTTGCAGATCCAATATAGATACCAGCTGGTATAAAAAACTCCGCTTAGAAGGCTGTGAACCTACAAAAACTTGGGAAGCTTGCTTTCTGCCAAGTCAAGCCATTGGCCCATCTTGCTCAACACTGACTGGTAGGATTTCATGCCAGGGAACACTCCCAGCCCTGCCTGGAGGTGCCCGGGATTGAATGTTAGATTTTCTGCATGCAAAACAGGTCCTCTAGCCGTACGTTGTAGCCCTTCGTAATTCCTACATCACAGGATATCCAGTTTTAAAGAAAGGTGGGAAGTTGGTCCACTCAGCTTAGTATTGTTTGCACCGGGGTGGGGAACCAGTAGCCCTACAGATATTGCGGGACTCCAGTTCCCATCAACCCCAGCCAATGGTCAAGGAAGAGGGGAACTGTAGTTTAGCTACTCCTGGAGACCACAGGGACTCCATCCCTGGTACGCATAGACTGTCAGCAACTCTCTTGAATTTTCAGGCAGTTGCATCTTCTCCCAGGCCTCCCTGCAGATGCTGGGGGTGGAACCTGGGGCCACCTGCTCTACCACTGAGCTCCACCGCCCCTTTACAAATTTCATGGTGTTTGGCATAAGCAACACATTTTGCAACTTGCGTATGTTGTGAGTCATCAGAATCAGTATTATGTAGATCAGGGGAACCTGCGGCCTGCCCAGTGTTTTGGGATTCCATCTTTCATCAGTCCTAGCAGAAATGCCAATGGTCTGGGAATGGTGGGGTAGAAACACTGGTGAGGAGGAAGATTCCATGCATATGATGGCTCTGGGGAAAGGGATGGCTGGAGAAAGGCATAAAAACCCCCAACCTAGGGTGGGGAAGGGGGGAGGTTGTGTTCTCTGGGAAATTGTTCCTGTTGTTGTTATTTATTACATCTGTATACTGCCCTGCATCTGAATATCTCAGGGTGGCCGAAATGTGTGCAGCATGTTTCACTGGCATGTGTCATTTGCAAAACGCTGTGATTCAGTTTGCACTTCTTCTAGACACCCAACAATTATCAAGAATAACGGAGAAGAGGAAAGTGCAGTTATCCTTCCTCTATCCGCTCCCCACCCACATGCCACACTTTCATTGCAAATCTTGTAATCCAATTCTACAACTTTCCCTGCCTGATTGAATCTCCCTCTCAAGGACATCTGAGGATGCAAGTGCCTCTGACCTTCCTCTGCCTACATTCGACGGGTGTGTGCGTGTGCGCAAAACGCTATGAAACAGAGGAGCCAGGCTGCCTGCTTGCTCGTTTGCTCTGTGCAGATGGGGAAGCAGAGAACATTCAGGCCCCAGAGAATAAATGCTGAGGTGCCACCTTCATGACTACAAATAGCAGTTGCTGCTGCTGCACACTACCCCATCTCATTCCCAGAGATTCCAGCCATGCTCTAAACCTAGGAATTTGAGTAGGCTCGGCTCCCAATGCCTATTGAGATAGAAGCAGCCCAGGGATAAATACACTGGGGGCGGGGATGTCCTGGACTCTGCAGCACAACCAAATATCACCACCATTTTTGTTTCTTCTGTTATACCACTATCAATGTGCTTTAGTGGAAGACTGGTCTCTGCCCAAAGGTGCTTACAATCTAAAAATGAACACAGGGAGGCACAAGGAAGCAGGAGCACAAAATGTGGTTACACCAGTTATGCGTACGTAGGCTTAGTCTCAAAAGTTAGTGATGCAGTTCACCCAACCAAATAATGAAGGCGAAACTGAAGATATATGGGTAAACTGCTCATAAACACACACATGTGTACACATAAAATATCGTATAAACTGCATTTGAGAAACTATTTAAAAGTATTTTTAGATGGTTTTAATTGTTTTGAATATTTTATTTTAAGTACAGTATGCCCTTTTCCCGCTTTAATTTACTATGTTATTGTTTGCCCACTTTGGGAAGAAGAGGGATAGAAATCAAATACATAATATAAGAGGGAAACTGCTTGTGAAAATGTGCACACCAGGCAAAACTATACAGAAAAATCTGAGAAATCAGAGCGGAGATGGTGGTGAATTTTCACGAGGACTTTAAAAACAAATGAACACGGAAGCAATGCAAAGATTAGGAGACACCAACTGAAGACTAGAGAAATGGGAAACTGAAACTGACAGAACCTCGCAGAACTAGACGGTAGGCACAGCCCCAGGCCTGGTGCCTGTGCGTGGGAGGGAATAGTCAGTGAAAGCAATGGCTTAACCATCAATCCCTTTGCCCAGGGAACTCTGGGAACTGAAGTTCTGTGAGGGGGAGGGGGCCGCCTAACAACTCTCAGGGCCCTTAACAAACCACAGTTCCCAGGATTCTTTAGGGGGGAGCTATGGCTGTTTAAAGTGGGATGAGAATGCTTTAAATGTACAGTGCAGATGGGACCTCATAGTGATTTGAGCACTTGAGGAAAGCATTATATACATTCTGATGATTATGAATAATCTGTATAGGACACAAGCACAGAAATGGATAAAACATACATTATGGAACTTTTAAAAAAATATTGGACTAAGTTCTCAGTCATTCTAGGGCTGTACCCATTATCCACATTGTATTTGGAAAAGAAACATAAAAAAAGAAGAAGTCTGCACCAAAGTAGTGTTA